ATTTGGATCCATTTTTGAAGCCTTTCAAGTAGCAGTGAAAAAACAATAACTGGATTTAATTCTAGCCCCAACTTCTGCAGCCCACTTTCTTCCCTTTTGCTGCCTACCTGCCATTCAACCTATCTTTCTTACTCGTAACTCACCTGTGTTTCTTTCTTATATGCTTTATTTCAAAAACGATTCATTAGAATCTGTTAACATGTGACAATATAGTCTCAGTTAAAAGTAGAGCAAGAATAGGAATAACACTTATTGAGCCCAGCACAAAATGCAAACAATATATGGCAAATACACCGCTAGACTGGTGGTCAAGTTTAACATTTAAGCTTTGAGTAGCCAGTATGAAAAAAGACATGTAATCATTTACACATTTATACTATAGACATTGCACAGATAGAAATTTCTCAAAAGTATAGCTGCCTTGTTTATTGAGAGGAATTCTTTCTGGGGGTTCTGATAAAGAGGATACTATAATGAACAATATCTTTTATCAGCACCTTCCCTGTAATGCATCAAGACCAGTTTTTATATCCATCTCAAAAAGTGAATGGTCCATGTATCCTTTAAGCAATTCTTCCACAATTTTTTTGAGTATTTCATTAGTGAAATATTTCATGAGTTTCTGCCATTTTTTTCAAGATACTTAGATTTTTAAATAATAAAGCATGTTTTAGGTGATACAGTTTACATTTTTTGATTCTATATATCTAATCGGTTATATCCATGACAGAGCCTTTCTCACAAATAATTGAAAAAATGAAAGGAAACAGTCAATTATTAGTTCCAGAAGGGAAAATGAAATTAGCTCTATAGCTCTGAATTTTATGTAGAAAGATTTACGTTTGCTGAATTGGTGACATATTAACCATAGCTCTCCATTCTTTACCAAAAAAAAAAAAAGGAACCAAAATGTTTACTAATAACTGATCTGCTCAGTTTCTATATCTTTAAAATGAGAGGATTAGTCTGGATGATGGCTAAGATTGCTATTTAGCACTAAAATCCTTTTTATGTTAATGATATTAATATCAAAACCAAGAAAAATGAAACCTCTATAATAAAGGCATAAAAACTCAAAAAGAATTTTATAAAATATAAACCTTAAATTAATATTTATCACACACTGGATTTTATTATTCTAATCTGCTTTTCAAATATCACTGCTGTGGATATTAAATGTTAATACAAATAAAATGCCTAAGACAGTCCTGAAACATGGTAATGTTCAGTAAATGTTGGCCATTAGTGTCATTTTTATACTCAAAATGTGAACAATCCAAATGTCCTTCATTGGTTGAAAGAATAAATGAACTCTGATACATTTGTACATAGAATATTGCTTAGCAGTAAAAAGTGAAACACTGATACATGCAACCACATCTCAAATGCATTATGCTAAGTGAAAGAAGCCTCCAAGGGTTATATACATTATGATTCTATTTATATGACTTTCTGGAAAAGGCAAAACTCTACAGGTAATAGAGCAGTTGTCACCAAGGCTTAGGAGTTAGGGACGGGAGTGGTTACAAAAGAGCAGCACAAGGTAATTTTGGGGGTCGAAGAACTATTCTGTATCCTGACTGGGGTAGCGATTACTTGGCTCTAATTGCCAAATCCACAGAACTCTGCACTTCCAACACACACAAAAAGATGAATTTTCTGTATATTAATATAGTTTTTAAAACCTGCAATGTGATACTACTACACATACAAATGGCTAAAATTAATAAGACTAACAATGCTAAAGCTCTTATACTTTTCTGGTGGTAGTATAAAATGTTTCACTTTTCAAACTGGCAATTTCTTATAAAGTTAGGTATATCTTTACCATAAGACCAAAAATTCCACTTCCATTAGTAGAATTTCTCATCTTCCCTCATTCTCAATTCATGACATTGTCATTTATGCAACATAACCAGAAACCTGGGGTCATTCTTTTCCTTACCACACTCATGCCACAAATCCTATCGAACATTAAATACTGATTCCTTTCCCCTCTAGATATCTCCTAAATATTTATGCTATTTTCTATCTGTACTATCTGACCATGCCCAGGACATCATCATTTTTTATGTGACCTATTATATCTTCTCAACTAGTTTATATACCTATTTCAAATCAATCTCTAGACTCAGAGTCAAGGTCATTCTCTTGCTTCAAATTCTTTAAGATGTCCCGTTACTGTTCTGTGCCTGCAGTGATCGTCTCATCTGATCCTGGTTCTTTATTTTTTTCTTAAAATTTCTGCTACAATAATATTTTAGAGGGATCACCAAACAACTTGTTATTTCGTAATTCCATTCAGACCTTTTATTTATTTTTGCGGGGGCGGGGGGAGGTGGGGGGAGTGATGTGTTTTCCATTGTTCCTTATTTCATTTACTCCTGGAAAGAAGAGTGGGGCATAAAAGTGAAGGAAGGAAATAATATCCTAACGAGTACCTAATGTGTATCAAACATCATATTGTTGTATGTGTTATTTAATGTAATATTCCAACATTTTGAGGTAGACTTTGTTTATTATATAGTTAAGGAAACTATGTATGGAAGTTTCCAGTGTTCCTCAGCTGAGTAGATATGGACCTAAACGAACTGTCATTTTACTGTATGGTCAACTTA